TTCTATCGGCTTTGGAAAAAAAGCCAGAGAAGGGTTTGAGTGCAAAGATCTCAGAAGTACAGACAGACCAAGCAAGCAACATTATCATAAAGTGTTTATTCATTTTTTTTAAATATCAAATTTTTTTTTACACATCGATTTTATTGATAAACAGTCCCCCAATATTAAAAAAAAATAAAATCAAAAAAAGAATCAAGTGTGTATTACTTTGGGCAGAACCACATCCCATTCTCTGATGACATGACCACTCCTCCCTTCAGCCACCTGCGAGGACAACTGCAGTATGTTCGGCCCAGAAGAGTAAATGACACAAATGCAACCAGCTTTAGGATTCCTGAGTATTGATTCCCTCAAGTTCCTTAAGTGAGTCTGTAAAACTCTTCAAGCTAAAAAGCATCAGTCAAAGAGTAACCCATTTGGATCACGGACTACGCCTCGTCTACACAGTGCAGGAAGAAATCGCTTGAACGCTTCAGAAGGGAACGACATACACGAAACCGAGCCCATTTCCCAAGCTGCCTTCCAAGAGAGGCAAGCAAAAATACCTCTTGATTTCTCCTCTTTGAATTCACGTTAAGAGTTCTGGGGAGCTGTTTGGCAAGAAGTCCAAGTCTGGTGAAGAAACTTCTAGGATCTGGTCCTCCTTTGAGTTGTAAATGGCATAGTGCTTTAAAGAAAACTTCTCAGCAAGTTAAGCATTCAGCAAGTACGCTTAAATATTGCTACTTGTGAGGAGAGGAGTCAGCAAGAGGGAGAGACAAAGACAAGAAGAAAGGAACATCTCTAGGAGGTACAAGGTTAACAGTCCCAGAAATGTAGAAATCTGAACACACGTAGCAACAAGGCAGAGATTGTCACGATACCGCGGCGTAGCTTGGCTCTGTTCAGCAGCAGGTAAACATGCCAGGGACTCTCACCAGGAAATATTTCCTCCTTTTGGCAGAATTATCTGTGCCCAGAAATTTTCAGGTGCCTACGTTTCACTAATCACCACCTCTGAACTCACCGAGAGCCTCGTGCACAGAAACAGCAAGAGGCCTGGTAAACTCCTTCAGTATCTCTAAGTAAGAGAATATATCCTGGAAGTCAACAGCAACGTACGGGACCAGGGAACACCAGGCTCCAGGGAACACCCAGAAACCAGCTCTACAGACCCAGTCAGGTCCCCAGAGGCGCTTCCATCTTTACGAAGCAGCTTCTGCTTTGGACTTTTTCTGCTTTGGACTTTTCGGAGTCAAATCGTTTTGCTAAGCTGATGTGACATGAGTACGTTGGAGCACTGAGGAATAAGGAGAGGGAAGAGAGTGAAGAGAATTATTTTAGCTCAGGGTGCGTGGCTCCGTGGAAACCTGAGCAGCTTTTGGCGTTAACTTGATCCCCTGCTCTCACCAACAAGCCGTAGCCGTCTGGCATCCCCGTGCAAAGAGAAGTGTTCCCGCTTTGTGGGCCAGGTAAGCACAGAGACCACTGAAGCGATTGCTAAAGGCCGAGCAAAGCGTGTCTGCACACAGCAGAGAGGACACACGGGCACGTGAAAGCAGAAGACAACTTTTAGACAATGCACGTTCTATTACTTTTCATTTGAACCTTAAATACTCACTACTGCCCCGATTTTCTACAACATAAATCTTGCTCCTACATTCTCTATTTTAGCAGCACGTAGCCATTCACTCAAAAGAAAGTTCTGAAATTAAGAGATTTAAATCACCGGGCTTGGATCAGCTTGATCAAGTATTTATTGACAAGTTTTTATCAAGTGGGGGTCAGGCTTTGCTTCTAGCAGTTCAGAGAAAGTTACCCAGGAAATTCTTGCGCTATCGATAAATGCTTCAGGAGAGCTTTGGCTGAAGGGCAGGTTTCAAAAATTGTATTTGACAATAAAACCGAGCGTTGAAGCAAATCGGCTGATGCTCTAAAGCTTTTATAGCATAAATTCTGCTTATGCAGTCTATGTAAATGTGGCCATAAAACTAGAGCCTTTAACCAGTTTGGAGCAAAGCAGCAGTACTTTGTCTAGCTACGAGTAAATGCTTCTAAAACCAAAAAGTGTAGATACGAGAAGGGGATCACGTTGACCGGCTAACAACGGATGCTTCAAGAAGCTGGCAGTAGATGAACCTGCGGGCTAAGGACACAAATTCAGCTCCCGTGCATCCAAGAACTTGCAGCTGGTACCTGTGTGTGAGGGGGGCTCACCCCCAGGACCACCTCCCCAAGAGCCAGGGTGTGAGTTGGGAGCCAGTTTGGCTGTTTAGACTGAGGATGCTCTGGATCTGAGCGCTGGGAGCCTCGTTCTTGTCGCTGCTTTCGATAGCGAACCAGATGCAGGTTGGAACGGGTCTAAGATATCATATTGACCAGTCTGTGATTCTGTATTTCCTAAGGCTTCTAAAGAGGTAACCGATGACTCTATACTCCTGTACCAGCCCAAGTGCTAGCCTCAAGAGGGGGCTTTCACTGATTTGAGGCGCTTGTTGCCAGGAGAATATTTATTAAAAATACCAACTTCAGCGGGGGTAACTCTTACCACCTGCCTGGTAACCATCAACAAGCTGTAGTCTTGTCTCAGTCACTCGTTGCCCTGGGTTTGGCTGGCACAGGGCTAATTTGTGCAAGAACTGGGGAGGGCGCACAGCCAAGAGCTGAACCAAACTAGCCGGGGGAATACTTGATACGAGACTGACACCGTGCTCGGTCTGTAAAGTGGGAGCTGGCTTAGCTCAGAGCCTGCGTCGTGGCCTGGGCACTGGGTTCCGCTTGGCGAGCAGCTCGTTGTACCTCACTCGCTTTCTGTGTCGATTGGTAGTATTGTCACTGCTGCCGTTTCTTCTGTTTTGTACTGTTGAACTGTCCTTGTCTCAACCCATGAGATTTTACCTATCATTCCCTTCTGATCATCATAGAATCATAGAGTCATAGAATACCAGGTTGGAAGGGACCTCAAGGAATATCTAGTCCAACCCTTTAGGAATAGAGTTTAAATGATTCTCCTCCCCAACTCGCCATGGCAGGGAGGAGTGAGCGAGCAGCCGTGTGGTCAGCTCCATCCACGAGGCTCGTTTTGAACAAGAGCCTCAAGTGAATTACTCGATGCTGCTCCAGCAAGGGGTTCCCAAACAGCCGAGCGATGCTTCCAACATACACACGGAGCAACGTCCGCTGTCGACATCACTAAACGTGTCTGGGAGCCTCAGGCCCAGCTGGTACGTTCACAGCTCACGCAAAACTCTGCTCAACAGACATGAATTCCTTAAAGGTCTCCATTAGTCTAAAGGATCTCCTGGTTGCCCAAGCGTCCTAAGGAAAATCTGACGAGTGCCACTCACCAACAGCAGAAACTGCCACAAGTTCACAGATGAAACCGAATTTGTGTTGTTTTTAAATGCCACCTTGCACAAAAAAAGCCTGGTGGACATGTAAGCAAATCTGCTAAGCCACAGGGACAACAAAACACCAGGAACACAGGCCTGAGACAACGTTAACAACAAATGAAAGCTACGAACAAAAACGTGTTTCCAGCCACTGCTGACCCATCACTTCAGGTTTAGCTCAGAGCAGAAAGTTCAAGACGAACACGTGACACAAAAAGCCACTTCTGAGATTTGCAAGCGGGACCAAGCGCCTACTTAAAATTTGGTATCGCGTTTAAGCCACGCTTCCCTTCCCCTTCCCAGCCCCAGGAGTGTTTTGGGGCTCTGCGGAGCATCACAGAGTAGATCATCCCCTCAAAAAAAGCACCTCCAAAGAGCTTCCTACAGCGCAGCCTTGGTGAGACCTCGTCGTGCAGGCTGCTCACCAGGGACTTCCCAGAAGGCCACGATGGTTGTAACACAGAAGCCATGTCAGTGCATTTGTTTCATAAACCCTATCGGGGAGCCCTCGCTCTTTAAGAGGTATTAAGTACGTACCCCGGGCTTTCCACAGGTCGCCTTTGCACAGCCGAGAGGCCGATCATCCCCAAACACCCAGATAAACCAGTGCAAAGCAGATTTCTTCATTCTTCCCACCGCACCCCGGCTCGGTGCGGAGAGAACGCATCCACTGAAACAGTTCGTTCTTCCCCACGCAGAGGGGGATTAAAAGCCGTAACACATGATTGGTTTGTTAATTTCCTCGTTAAGGTTTTGCCTTAAAGTGGTTGAGCTTTTTTTTTTTTTGTTCTTTTGGATGGGGGAAACATGATGTGGGCAAGGCTAGGGAAGGAAAAAAACCAAACAAAACCACTCCTTCCCCCACTCCGTCCTCTACAATTAATACCAGCGAATCTTCAAATGAGTTAAAACATCTCTGAAGTTTTGGTAGCACCAAATTCTATCCCTTCCCTTCTCCTATCCCCATGTTGTAAACGAACACACTGGCCCGAAAGCATCGAAGGGTTTGGCAGAAACGGGCATCAGCCTTCCCCTCGCACACACGAAAACACGCGCTCCCCAACGCCCCCGCCTCCCCTCCAGCTCCTCTTGCAAAGCGTTACACGTCTGCGGGCATCGACATACCTTCGGGAGCTCCCGTAACAGTTTCATCAGCCTCAGGGGTGGACACTGGGTTACAAAGCGCAGGAGAGCTACAACAGATCCAAAGAGTCCGCTGGGACAAGCGCTGTTCGGCGTCTGCGCCGTACCGAAACCTGGCGTGCGACTCCTGTCCCGTGCGCGTACGGTTCACCTCGCAATCTGCTTTGCGCCGGACAGGGCGGTTGATCTTTAAATGGCTTCTGCTTTTTTATTCGTAACATTGGAGCTTATTCTAAAATTGTACATTTAAATAAAAACATTGATTTTCATCCAGTATGCGTAATTAAAAGTTATCCTGTCTACACAATGCTAGGATGTTTTCTTTCTTTTAAAAGGCCAAATCGAGCAAGTGAAACAGAAGAGACAAGTTACTTTGGCTGCAAATAATTAAAAAATCTGGCTCGACATTCTGCTTGTACATTATGGTGTATAACTAGATACGTCCTTTAACATAAAAGACACCCCAGTCAGCTACCTCTTCCGTAATTACGTTGGAACGACGATACTCTTGGCTAGCAAAATGAGAAGAGCAAGATCTGCGTTTCCATCCGCTTGTTCTAAAGCCTCAAGAGCTTCCTGTGTGGTAAAACCAGCGCCGAGGATCCGATCAACATCAGCCGCGGGGAAAGCGGGTGGCGGAGAAGCGCCCGACCTAAGTCCGGTACAGCCAGCTGGCGGGCTCAGCTGGGGCTCCTCACACCCACCCAACGGCCACGGACCTTCAGGAGCAGGACTGCTGCTTCTCCCGGGTGCTCCTGTCACCAGGCTCTGCGGATCCCGAGGTGCACCCTCATCCAAAGCAGATGTAGAGGAAACAGGTGTGTTTTGCTCTGAAGCTGGACTGGTTGGACACCGATTACCTTCTGCCAGAACCTCCACCTGCTCAGAGCTGTGTTGCTGGTCAGGTGTTGCTGCAGAATTCACCACGACCGAATCGCTCTTACCTGAAAGCTTCTGAATCGAGAAAGCACCTTCTCCAAGAGCTGACTGCACGTCACTGACGGAGCCAGTGCCGACGTGTTCTGTGCCAAGATCACCAAGCGGTTTCCCCTCTACCCTTGCACCTTCAGACCTCACCTTGGAGAACGAACAACTTTGCTCCTGCCTGGCTGGATCTGAGCCTTTCTGCTCATTTTCAGAAAGCCCCTTCTGCTGTGCCACTGGCTCTCTGTGAACTGTTTCCAGCTGAGAGACTTCTTCCGAGGCAAGAATTTTCCATTCTCCTTTCCGACTGATAACCAAGAGTTTGTGAAGCTCTTTCAAGGCCGATGCTAGAGAGAAACACGGCTCTTCTGAAGATCTTCCTGGATCCGTGTCCAGCTGATGGAGGCTGGAGCGGGAAGAGCTGCCTTCAGCCGCCAAATTAGACACCTCATTACACTTCACAGCAATTTCACTAGTGCCTTTACACTGCAGGACGTCACCAGTGGAGAGCAGATCGCTCGGGGAGGACGCAGACTTTAGCGACTCCACCTCCATGGAGAAGGTGTCCAAGTTCAGGTGAGATACACGCCTGCTCTCGGCCTGCTGCTCCTGCTCACCTGCCGAGCCGTGGGCTTCAGCTACACACTGCTCAGCGACATCTATTTCCATGAAGCATTCTTTACGTGTACAGCTACAGGAGGCTGACATTTGGAGACTCCCTTTTGCACAGACAAGACCTGCTTTCTCCTGTCCATCCCCTCTCGTTTCCATAGGAGGATTTTCTGGCCAGCTGGCTTCTTCCCCAACAGGTTTCTCAATGCCACCAACATGGCGAGGAGGTTCTGGCTCAGTTGTCTCAGTTTGCTTCTCCAGATGTTCCTTTTCTGGTTCGTGACCCATCTGACGGTCTATGGGAAGCTCACATTCTGCAGACAGACAGACATCTTTACTTTGCTCATGTTTGTCAGCAGTGTCAGCCAAACTATTTTCTTTTGTCACTTCCACAGGGCGTTCCTGACCACAGTTGTCTTCTTTAGCATTACATTCCTTTAGACTGTCAGCAGTAAATGTTTCTTTGAGTGTCTTCTGTGAAAGGCAAGCTGGATTGCAACAGGTTACCTCCCCTGTCTGGGGAGAAGGGTCGTTATTTGCCAAGGAAGCGTTACTGGAAAGGTGCTGCAGTAAGAGAGGATGCTCTTTTTCTGGGGTTATCTCGCATTCAGTTGAAGACTCAAAAGACTTGATGGCTCTAGGACCAACGGGCTCTGCGAGGCTAGATTCAGATGAGCAGACTGAAGCAGGGGCAGAGACAGAACAATCAAGTAATTGATTTGTGGGATTACAGATCTTGGAATTTAGTCCTGAAGACTGGACTGGATTTTGAAACCCATCAGAAGCTGGTAATGAGGGCATTTCCAGTGAGGTAGTTTCTTTGTCACTATTCTCTAACAGAAGACAGAAAGAAAGAAGCAGTTAGGCCACAGGAGAACCACTGAGGCCGTGAAAACTTATCAACCGATGGCTATAAATACCTGGTCTGTGGCCCACTCCAGCTGCAGTAAACACACACTACATGCATCAAGGCTTCTGACGTTCTGTTTGGGTTAGGAAACAAACACACCAAACTCGTGTTAGCATTCAGAGCACACCACATGCACCGTTACAGTCCTCGCAGCTCCCGTCCCGCCTGTCCGCCAAGGCAGCGTACGAGCAGCAGGAGCTCCCCGTGTCCTCTGCCTTCCAGGCCTTCTGCCTCGGAAATTCATTACATCATAAAAATAACTCAGCTGGAGAAAGCTGAAAGGCTGTTCTGTACTATCTATGCTGTGGAGTGGTCTGGAGGGGAAGCTACACACTTGATAAAAGTAAATGCAGCACAAGGTACACGTCTAGCCCATACTGGTTTGTCCTCCATATGGCTCAAATTATCCAGGAGCTACATTTCAGGGAAATTAGAATTAAGAAGGCACCACAATTCTCGGCCTGTGCTCCCAGCAGCTATTGCCTCGTGATGGCTCGTGGCATTGCAGGGAGAAGGTGAGAGAGTATCGGCAGGGGAAGGTGAGCAAGCATCGGCTTTCTGCAAAAGGGAAGCGTAAAGATCCTGAGGCGAAAGGCAGAAATCCCCCAAAGGAACTGCTGCCCAAGGCTGGGAAGAACAAAACAGAGGAAGGGACAGCCAGAAGTCAAACCCAGCTCGCAGTTTCCTCTTCCGCAAGGAGAACAGATGAATGGCAGATCGCTTTCAGTAGCACCAAACACTGGCTCTAGTTATTGAAGAGATTAAATAAGTGAATTTATCTTGCTAATAGTCTAATCTCGCTCATGTATCAGCTCTCATGCTCCTGTTAAATCTCTAACATGACCTTTTGCTGTAAGGGCCTCTGTTCTTCCGTTAAAGCCCTGCTCCGTCCCACATCAGATACCCAGATTTCGTGTGGCGTGATTTGTTGTGTTAGTTCCCTTTTCCTGCCCAGAGACCCCAAAACTCAGTGGTCTTACTCTTTTACCTTCAGTCTGTCTCTCTTTACAGCTACCCAGGTGTCCTGGGGGCCAGCTAGCCTTGCTCACACGTACAGCTGGAGATTTCCTTTAAGTTCCAAAACACAGAAGAAATTTGCCTTTTTCACCTCAGCTATTTGTTTCTTTTATTCTCCATCAAACAAAAGCGGTGCATTACGTGCTGCAACACTGTGCCTCTGATCGATACGCTTTGGTACAAAATGCAGCGGCCGTCACAAGAACAATCCCTTCTTAACGCAGCTGCAACAACTTGGCAGCGCGGGAGTATCAAAAAGCTCACAGTAAAACGTACCAGGACTCCACTACCATCTCAGCTGCCTTTCTAAAAGCGTTGTGTCAGCAAGTCAGCTGACAGAAATCATGGGGCTCACTAAAGTGGGCTTCAGGGGATTAAATAAATCTCAAGAATAATCCAGGTGCATTCAAAAACAAGAACTTTAATAGCCTACGGACGTGCACAGCGGTTTCTCTTGTAGTGTCTACGAGAAGGCAGCAAAAAAATTCAAGCTGTTATGAAATAACACAGGCCTGGCGGTGAGCTGAGCTTGCTCGGTTCTGCATTATGTTCTCTCTCTCTCCATTTTCTTGGTTTTCCTGGTACCACCTAGCAGCAGCTAACAGTTTGGGAAGGAAGGAAGAGGGTGTACATTAATATTCTGACATCTTAGGATCCCCCCGGTGGGCCTGAGGCTTGTAACACGTCTTAAGACTTACGCACGGTCAAGTTAAACGAGACTTGCCTTAGTTTTGTGCGTGGGTGCTCTACAAGCATTAAGTGAATGCACCGAATGGATTTGCTGTCCTCATAAATCTTTTACATTCCTCTAGCGCCAAGCATCAATGGGAAACGACAGACTGCTGATTAGCCTGAACAAAGTCACGTGGCCTTTAGAACCGCACTGGTACATAAGCAGCTTTGATTTAAGTCATTTTAGGCACTTTTCATTTTAAAGCCCTCGACAAAAATGCTCTTATTGTAAAGATTCATATGTTTGGGGGTTTTTTTTGACCCGTTCAGCAAAGACCTAAGCCCAACCAACTATGATGCCTGCAAAGTCTCATCTGAAACAGAGAGACATTGCAAAAAACAACACAGGCTTCATCAGGCTCAAAATTTTAGCAGGAACAGAACTAATATTTACATCTGTATATTTTCTCTGTGAGGTTACGTGAAGAGACATGAGCCCAAGCTACTGAATCTGACCTTTACCGATGTCAAAACCTGACAGGGGCAAGGTCAAATCTATGTTTGCATTTCTCTACTTGCTGCAAGTTAATAAACATTCAAATTCAGCTTTAGAAGTCGAACGCGCAAACCCTTTCTTGCCGATTCATTAAAGCCAGGTCTTAACTAAATCGTGCAGCTACCAGAAATCTTCCACAGCCCAGCCAGCCCACATTCGTGAGGCTTGGCGATTCCAGAGGCACGGGGAACAAAACTATGGGGAGGGTGAAAATTCTCCTTGCAGATCACACCTAAGGCTGATGGTACACACTAGGATGTGAACTAAGCTGCCGCTTTTTGCAATTTCCAGCAACAATAATCTTCACTGAGAGAAGCAATCCACCTCCCAAGGGCACAAGCACCCTTCTAAGGAAAAAACGCTGAAATAGTACTATTTCTAAAAATTGTCATGAACTTCTGTCCAGAGATATGTACTCATTCTACAGCTTTGCTATTTTCAGAACAGGATCTGCGGAAGCCTCCACAAAGCTGCGCTTACGTGAGGTTGCTGAAATATCCCACGATCGGACCACATCCCTGACTGGGCACTACAGCTCAGGTAACTGGTTTCCTCTGGCACCTGTTCATCTCCACACTTGCAAAGGCCAAGAAACCAAAGCGGGTAGGAAGTTGCAAGAGCGCAAATTAAACAGCAAGCACCCCAACGCTTTCATGCAGAGCAATGTTGCTGTACAGAAAGGGAGAAGCGCAGTTAGAGGCCACGAGCAAGAGTAAAGCCCCTTTCTCTCCATTGCTTCCTCGCTGACGCTGCATCAGGCTCTATCTCCTAGGAGCTGAGAAGCCAGCCTGATACACACCAAGAAAACTATACAGAATAATATTTTAACTAGGCTCCTCCTGGTACCTGCTTCCTCTACGGACTTCTGTATTGCTTCTGCTAGTTCCTGGTCTGCAATCTCCTCTGGCCGTACGTCTTCCCGTCCAGCGCCGTAAGCCAGCCGGGCACACTCCGGGAGCTCGCCCTCCGGGAGGAAAGTGGTCTGTGAGCCAGTCGTGCCGATCACTAGTACATTCTTCTTGAGATCAATGGAACACTGTGAAAGAACACTGAGACATCAGGGACCTGCCTAAGAACCATTCAGTTCCCAGAAAAGGAGGAGAAACGAGGTTAAACCAATCCATTCCCAATGGGAACGGCTCACAGCAGCTAAGCATGGGCCAAGAACATCAGCTGTAAGCAGAGGGTCCTGTATGACTCGACTCCTAATAAATCAGTTCATTGTAAAGCTCTGAGCATCTCTGATCAGAGCAAAAAAAATTCAGGGAGCAGCCAGACACGCTGTAGCTCATCCATGAAGTATGCAGCGTACGTACTTCTGTCAGAAGTGGCTGGAAAACAGTCCACCATCAATTTTTCTCACAGAAATCTGAACATGTTCACAGGCAAAGGCATTTATGTTGCACTTAGTACTCAACCTGAAAGAGCTACTGACTGTTTCAAAAGCAGTTTTGATACCTGATGCCTCTTCAGCATGTCCAGTCCTAGAAGCATGTCCATGGGCTGCTCCTCAAGGATTGAGAAAGAGCACGCCAGGAAATCCCCTTCAATTTGGACCTGAGCTGAAACACAAGGGAAAGAAATTACCACCTCGCAATGTTACAGCGCAACAAATCTACTTTCTGCTCTTCTGTCTCCTACGAAAGGTCTGCACAAACCTGCTGGGCAAATCGGAAACGAGAGCTCTGACATCTTGGTTTGGTCACAGAAAGTCTAGCCCTGTGCAAGCCCCAGGGACTGCCAGGCCAGCCTTGGTCTCAAGAAGTTAATTATGTTAAAAGCTGACCTGCTCTGGAACTTTCAGCACTGCTTATCTGAGCCTCCAGGCTAGAGGAACCATGTACAGCTCATTAGAGCACAAGCCTAAGAAGCAACAACAGTGAAGAGAATCAATTTTTTTCCGACAGTAAGGACGATTTCTCTCATCCCGAAAAGCTGCACAAGAGCACAGCCAGCCCCCTCGGCACAGAGGAATATGAAACACTCCGCTGTACAGGAATCCCTCCTGAGCCACTTGTACTGTTCGACCGTCCCACCCCAAACAGGAAGGATCGTCCTGTTTCACATCAGCCTCGATTTTCGCACCCAGAGCGAACGCATCCTCTGAGCTGAGGACTCCCTCACCCAAAAGTGTCACAGCAATTCCATTTAAAAAAAGCATTAAACGAGACAGAAGCCAGAGAACTGCGCCCGAGACAAACCAACATACCGCAGATGCACTTTTCTTTTACTCAGTGGGAGTTTCTAACAATTATAGCATTAAACTAGGTGCTCCTCAGTGCCAAGATTGCAGGAAATGCAGTTGAACTGTCACTAAAGCTGCCCCGAGAAGAATGCCAGGACTTACCTAAGTGCACTCTGCCAATGATTTTCTGCGTCCCTACACCTTTAGCAATGCCAGCCCACCGCCGATCCACCAGCCTCATGATGTTGCACCTTTCAGCACAAGCTTGGCTCATGATGGTCATCTGAGCACCTTAACCAGTAACAGAATTCACATTAAATCCTGCCACCTCATCACCGATTGTAATTCTTTCCTGGAAAGGCTTAAGATCTTGCATTCAGCAGCCGGGAAAACAACCCGCAAGCATCAGGGCAGTGCATTAAGGGCATAAAGACTTCCAGTGAATCCCACTGAGCTGAACTGACCATATAAACTCAGCTCAGCACTGGCAGTAAAGTTATGTATTGCTGTAGAGCTGGAAAAACCCCAAGTATTTTCCCTGTAAGGCTGCAGATGGGAAGCATCGCGTTAAAGGCATGCAAAATACCCTCATCTGTAAAATGAGATAGGACACACGTGTGGCAGTGACCTTTCTGGCATCGCAGCCCCAGAAATCCTCACGGCAGCCTCGATCCGGGGTGTTTAAGCACTCGCACTTCCCACAGGTTTGCTCTGTTTGCCTTAAGCAATGCCCAGGCTGCTCTCAGGTTTTAATTAAGCACTTCAAGATCTTGGAATGTGGCTCTTCATCACGGAATTTTAGGGCCCCCCTCAGTGAAAGAGAGTGAAGAAAAAGAGATGAAAACAGAGGCAACACACCTGAGTCAACAAAGGCTTTCACTGGGTGTCCATTGACTTTGCAGTTAATGTACAGCATCACCACCTGCCCAAAACTCTCGGGAGCCTCTTCCATTGCTATCGTCATGTTTTCTTCAATGTTTTGTTGCCTGTATTTAATGGAGAAGAGAGAGAAAAGTCAGACCTTCTGTGGGAAATTCCAGGAGTTGACAAAGAATGAGTGAATTTGGGAGCCGAGTAGGAAGAGAGTCAAACTCTGGACTTATCTTTTACCAGGCTTGAGTATCCAGCCAAGACGAGGCAGAGGTGGAGGACTGTGATCACATACTCAGGTAAGGCAACCAAGCACTTGAATCAAATTTTGGCCTCACTTCCCTCCCACCTCCCTTTCTTCATTGACAATACCACAAAGTTTGGAAGAAGACACACAACTCGGTCTGACCACGTCAACAGTATAAACCCGGTCCCTTGGTAGCGTCTCAGCTGAGAGGAGACACTGACTTCAGCCGCTGGGTGGATCGACAGGTCCCACTCATTCTCCTTTCCCCATGAGCAGGGACACCTCTTTCGTTAAGAAACTGTACCTCCATTTGCAGATGACACTCGCGTGAATGAATTAATTGTTTATATAACTTGATTAATTCTGGCTATTCAGCATTAACGCCATAAGTGTATTTCTCAAAGGCAATTCCGAATCCGTTACACCTGTCGCTTTAATAAATTACCTACTTTTTTGACTTTGCAAAACTGTTTCAGTGGGAAGTACCTTGGGGGACTCTGACAGGCGAGTTGGCTATAATCCTTTAAACATAAACTGTTGACTCAGTCTAGGACCAAGACTGGATCTTGCTGCACCCAGGCTCCTCTCTGAGCAGGCGTTTAGAAAGCAAGGACGTCTCTCTGAACCCTTTCAGAACTCCCTCCGCCATGTGTCAGACTCTTACCTTTCCGTTTAACGTGACACCTTCCCCCAGCCAAACCTTATAAGCATCCCTCCAGCTTACGGACCTGGCACTCCCAGCTGCTGCAGCTCACCTTACAAACAGCAGGTTTAGAGCACAACCAAAATTGTTTTGTGAGCTAAATGCAGGCTTCTTGGCAGGAGGGGGCTAGAAATGATCCTGGCTTAATCCAGAGACACCAGGTCGCTCCCCAGCAGCCATGAAGCCTGCTCCTCCCTTACACCTTGCCTAACTCACGCTCCAGCTCCTAACGACCTTCTGTTTGCAACAGAAACCTGTCACCACCAAGTATACCCGAAGACCTTGCGAGCGGAAAACCTGCATGTTTATTAGTCACTCTAAAATAACGCGCTGAGGGTGCACAATGAAGATGTTGCCAGTAGCTACAACATTGGAATCCCACACAGCAGCTGAACACTAAAATCCTCCAACGTTTCCCTGGCATTTTTCCTTTTCCAGGCAGAGGGAGGTGAGCAAAACAGCAGCGAGAACATCACCAGGAGCACAAGCACTTGGTCCAAACCTACAGAAGAAACGCTCTGCAAGAAGCTCATCACAGCGAGATTGGAAGTAACAGGTATCCGTAGTGACTGCATCCAAAATAACTTTATCTCCCAAAAAGGGCACCCAATTTTGATGCCATTTCAGTTTTCCTCCTCAGCAGGGGAATGGGAAAAGCCTCGGGCTCTTCTCTTACCCATCTCCTGAGAGGTGGAAGCCTTCCTACACTGTGGGTACACGTGGTTTCTTGGTGGGGGAAGAAAACACCTAATGGTATCCAAGACCTGGCTCGCTTGGGAGCTAAAGTCAGTCTGTCCTGCTTCATATAGTCATGACACAGAGAGTCCCACATTGTCCTGTCTTTCATTATTTAAGCTTAAACTGGATAGGCAGCGCTTAAATCTTCAGTTTCAGTTCTCTTGTCACATCTCTGTGTTTGACGGTCCCTGCACTTCAAGGACAGAGATGTGTCTCAAAAAACATGACGCCTGCAGTACCTTGCACAGAACACAGCTAATCACGCAAAGAGTTCAGAGAAACTAAGCGGGGTGTGAAACCTGGGGACTGCCAGATGCCCAAACTGCTCCCTAACAGCTGCGCAGCCTCAGGCACATCACCTTTATCTGTCCCCTCACTGACAGAAGAAGGAAAGCGTTCCTGTGCCTCCGAGCAATGTTTTGCTATCTACAGATGTATATTCTTCTGCATCGCTAAGCGAAGCATTTATCTGGCACCAACACCTTGTCAGTCCTAATGCAGGAACGACTCTTATCACAAATGGATTTTGGTTACGACCAGTGATGAGCCAGTAGCACAAAGACATTTCTTCGTTGGGGAAAATAACCACCAGTCGTGTTCCGACTCAAGGATTTATCACTCAATTTAAGAAATCAAGGCTCAGCCCAATGCAATTACATTTGGAAGAGAGCAAGAGGGAGCGAGCGCTGATGAGAACAACATATTTCTACAGAATGCCTCTTGTGACAGCGGTGATGTTCAGAGCCTGGAATTAGACAAAACAATTAGCAGGAGTAGCTGGGAGAAATGACACCACGTTGCTGCGCAGAGAGCCCAGCCCAGAGACGAGCACAGGCCCAGCTCTCCAGTTCAAAACACGTCCGAGACACCCAAGTGCCACCTCTCAAGAGGGTCTTAAGCGCTTTCCCCAAGTGCTCCTGCTTCAGAGTGGATGAGCTTAGACAGCTCTGGGGCACCACAGCACGGACAGCAGCGCTGCACCCTCAGCTGGGTACATCTAAAGGATGGGGTGTGCCTACACATCCCAAATCCCCACCTTCCCACGTGCAAAGGTGGCTCAGCTCATCACCCTGCGAGCAAATGTGTGTCTTGAGGCAGGATCTAAACACGCTCCTGCCACCCTCCAAGGAAAAAGCACCACGAATGAAAGCACCCTATGAGAAAAAAAGCGCCGCAAAGGCCTCCAGAGCCTGCAAGCGACTTTGGTTTGATACCTTATGTCTTCTTCGATCTTGGCCTGCGCCTCGAGATCAAATGGGTCAGCTGAATAGAGCCGGATCCTCTCCTGCTCCCGCCGGGCTCGGTCCTGCTGTTGCTCCAGCAACACCCTGGTGAATTTCTCTGCAGTAACAAGGAGATACAGAAATGCTTTTTACTGGAAATTACTCTTCCAAATCAAGTTTTGGCACCGCCAACTCTTCTTTTTATGCCAGCAGGCACTCAGGGGGAGACTCAGCAGCACACGCTAAAAAGGCTTCCTCTGAAGGCAGCACGGATGGACCTCAAAGGATCAGCAGCAAACTTTGAAACCCACAGAGATGAAAAGCAACTGGACAAAGCTCTTTCTCCTCGTGTCTGCTACTCAAACTTAGCACAATCAAACTCAGTTTCTTTGGGCAAACATTTTCACACGGAATAAAAATGGAAAAAAACCCGCAAAGACAACAAACAATACTTAAAACAAAGAGCTGCTATTAAACCAGGAATTCATTCTTCTACTGCAGCAAAAATTGCCTACACAATACTCCAGAAACACCCGGCTGCAAAACCAGCAGATAAACGAGACCAGCAGCAGAAGTCAGGACTGCAGAACTTGCACAATTCCAATGAGGAGATCGAGTGCGCATGGATTTTAAAAAAGCTTCAGACAGAGAGAGAGAAGTGAGATTTCATAGCTCTCGGTAAGAGGGCCCATCTAGAAGAACAGCTTGCAAAATCTATTGTGTTTTACACTCAGCAATCCCCGGTAAAATAAGAGCCTGCAGATCCAGCAAAGAGCTAACACAAAACTGCAAGACATAAAAATGCTAAGGACAAAGCTTACTTTAAATCCAGTCAACACAGGCAGAGACGTTACAATCGCTGGAGGTGAATGCCTGCCGCGGCAATCAAGAGGTCCTCGGCAGCCCACCTGCCTCACAAAGTCCAGCCACATGTTTTAAGATCACGCTTTTTAGATCCCCACTTTTTGGATGGCCTCTGGCTATTTTTCTACTGCTTGGATGTGATCATGCCCATTCCCAAAAGGACCTGGTGATAAATTAAGTTCTGTAAACACAGAAGGTTGTGGGTTTGCTTCCAGAAACGCAGCTCCCATGAAAAAGTTCCCTGGCTCAAAGGCTGTTAGATGTTTGGAAAGGCATTGGGTGTTTTTGTGTTTTTAAAATTAGGCTTCTGTAGAGCAGGTGCCTTCTAAAGTGCTTGCTGTGCATCCAGCACAGTCACATGGCAGCCAGAGCTGAACTGCATCCGTGTCCAAACACCGAGAGCAGCAGTTCAGAACAGGCGCATTACCAGATCTAACCGCTTCTTCCGACAGCCCACTGCGGCGATTTGGGGCTAAAAATGCACCTCTGATTTAAAATTTAATGTGCACAGCAAGATGAGGCAGGTCAGCAGATGAACCAGCTCTGGGTATCCTCAGCTTAACCTCTTGTTTTCTGTGCCAAGAGCAGCACACCTCCTCAGGGTGATGGGAAGAACTAGGGATGCAGCGCTTGCAAGAAGCACGAAGAAGCTTGAGAGCACTAAGGGTGAGGTTTTCTCTGGATATGAACTAAAGTCAGAATTAAAAAATTAAATAGGGTGACTACATCCATGCAAGTTCCTTTCTAATTTCATTCAACAGAGAGAAATCACCAGGGTGTGATATCGAAAGTGGAAAAAAAAAAAGTCTCTTGCTAGGAGCTCCTTCTCTTCATTCACTTCCCCAAACTCAACAGGATTTATTTCCCAGCCAAACACTTTGCAGAGGTTTAGAAGCACATCTGCTGATGCCCAAAACCTTACTCTGGTTTCATACTGAAAGGACACTGGAGGGCAAAGCTTTTGTCACAGGAAAAACATCAGGCTCCACCTGCACCCAAAACGTGTGAACAATTTCAACACTAACAGGAACTTAAGCACTTATGACTATTCCTATCGAAAGAGCTCCCTAAAGGCTTTATTTGCTTGTTTCTTCTAATGTCTGCTTCTGCAGTGGCTCACCACGAAGGGCAGAGCTGGTTTCACAGCGCGCTGCTCTCTGCTGAGGTCTCAGGGGGCTCTGGCACGCAGCAAGTGCACCACCAATACTGAAAATGTGCGTTCAGAGAGTCTTAGCGTCAAAATCAGAGGCCGAGCCACTCGTGCTCCCAGAAACTCCAATTATCTGGTATTTCCAAGTAGGGGACAGAGGATATTAAAGAAGCCAAGCAGGAGAAATGGGCCCAGCTTGCCACAAAGAGTCTTGTTAGAAGGAGAGGAACCCTGCCTTGAGGACTCCCAGCTGGCACCTTTTATCAGCACCATCAATGAGCTGGCGGCGACCAACCCAGCTAGTTAACAACCCGCGGCTGCCTCTTCTTAGAACTGAGCTCAAACAGATTGAAAACCACCTCCTGCAGATGTAAAAACCTCAACTTACCGAGGTCTCCGCTGAGCAACGCCTCTGCCAAGGGTGGGTTGCGCTCCTTCAGCAGCGACAGCTCGTGGGGATTCGCAAGCAACATGTCCCGGAGCAGCGCTGGATTGTCCAAACCCTGAGGGAACGAAGGCGCGTCGGGAGGCGACGGGCGAAGCCGCTGTGGTGGCGGCTGCTGCTGCTGCGTGGACGTCCCGGGAACCGCGATGCTGCTGAAGTCTATCCTCGGCAGGCCTCAAGGAGGGGAAAAAAAAAAAATTTAAATACGAAGCGTCAGTGCGCCACATTTACAATTCTGCTTGAAAAACACAGCGGAAAAACAGCGGGAAGGATGAGCTGCTCTTAATGCCACAGTATTAGACTGGATTCTGCAAAGAGCAATTCATGTCAGAAGCACGGGCACGGACTCAGGTTACTGGGTTAGGAATGCAAGCATGTATTTATGTAACTGGTCTAGCCTCCGAGATGGCCCATTTTTTTCTCCCCTGAAATGCACTTATTGAAGCACAGGGTAGTTATTTCCAGCTTCGCAAACGCGAGTACCACACAGAGGGATCGCAAGGCTAAACCTGGTGTCTATGAATCTCTCAGATTAAAAAAAAAATGCAGGGAGGGAAAAAAAAAAAAGTCTAATTTCTGCAGACCTGCACTGCAGGTACCCACCCTCACAGCTGAGACAGGAGGGTGAAGGCCTCAAGCAACGCTCCCATGCCCTTTTCAGCCAGCGGAACTTTCTTTTCCAGGGGTATTTTATGAGGGGGATTTGCTAGGAACTGCTGCAGAAGGCAGGACAGAGGAGCAGGGCTCCGCTCAGCCGTTATCAGGAGTCTTTCGCATGCATCTACAGTTGCGTAACTGGCTTTAAGATGCAGCTTCTCCGGGTATTTGTCACCACACAGATTCAGAGCGCGCATCCCAACAGCCTTTCGACATGTCTGTGCTGCAGCTGCACAGGCTGCAGAACCTTGCGCCTCCGCGCTGAGACAGCAGGGAACCAGCGGTCGTATGAAAATTCACGTGCTTCTGCAAGAAACTGCTCTTCTGAACCAGCTATCCTCCGCGTTTTCTTTGCATTTCCCCAGAAGAACAATAAAACAGTATTCCCTTCCGTGGGATAAAATCAAACCCCCCACCTGATCCCTAGCCACCTCCCCTTCCCAAGTGCTTTGCGTAGAGAGGGACTAAAGGAGACTGACAGGAGGCGGAGCTGGTGTTGGATAAACCCAGAGTTCTTTGCGTGCTCAGAGCAAAAGTTTGCCCAAAACGTTTCTCACCTGGGAATCGGATGGAGGGCCGCGGCTCGACGGTCTCCTTCTGTCGCAAAATCACCACGTCCCCATCTTTCAAGCCATAGGAGGCCAAAGATCTGTTGTTGTCCGTGAGAGGCCGCTCCGCATAGACAATCTGTTCATGGAGAGAGTGCAATGAAAAACACCACACGGGACAAAGCAGATAACATCCTGGGCTTTTTTAATATTATTTTTTTTCAGGAAAGCATTTCAGTCTGGACCCAGCTCCAGGTTCAGAAGGTAAGGTGTGCAATTCTCATCACGCACCTCTGCCTCGGGCACAGAAAGACCTCAACATGTCAGCGGTTGAACAAACCCAGCGGCTCGGAGAAGGGCTGGCCTCTTAATTAAAGGCCAAGATTATTAAAGGGAAGCCAGCCTTGCACCAGGGCTCTTTGCCACGCGTTTCCAAAATCCGATCTCTACGACTGCACAAGTCACAGCCGTCTGCTACAGCTTTACCTCCCCCCGACCAAGGACCGACTGCACACACGCAGGATCCCGCTAGATCCATGGGTGATCCAGTCCAGGATCTATGATCCTTGCCTTTTCCCACAACACAGTTCCCCAGAATAACCAGTTTTACAGGGGCCTCAGTGATTACCTCAGTGACTTCCCATTCCCTTCAGGGATGTAACTCTACCCAAACTCAAAGGTTCAGCACCCAAAGACACCGCTCCCGAGACTGCAATCAGTCTGTGATGGGGAATTAACTTCTTTTTGACTATAAGACGTAAAGGCACATCATTTTCTATTCAGATAATCCGATTTAACAAGAGATCCATAGATTAAACATAAAAACATACCAAGATAAAAATGAATAATCACCATGGGAACATTTCTATTCCCATTAGATCTGTAATATCTACGGACATATGGGAAAGCAAGAAAAACAAAATAAAGATGTGAAAAGTTCCCAGAAACGGGATCTGTTAAACGTTGAGGTTTCTGTATCTTCATTGGAGCACAACGAGACCAGGCAGATCGGTTCAACAGCCTCCTACCCCTGGCAGGAGGCCAAAGCATGAAGAGCTGGAGAAGAGAACTCGGCTGAAACCCCTCTGGCACGCTGTGGAATTTCACGTTTTGCACCCCGTTTAGCCGGACCGCATCTCTCCGGGTCTGGAAAAGGCTGGTTCAGCAACAACAGGTTTGCCACAGGTCGGGACTGGCAGAGCCGCGTGGGAGAAGCTTTCGCGGCGCTTGCGTGGACAGGCTACGGCTCTACCCGACGCTATGGCAAGTAGCACATCCACAAAAAGCGAGCAAAAAAGCCCCTTGCCCAAAATACGTGTCTTAAAATCTGGAATAAGCCGTGGACTCTCACTGCTTTGCTCCAGCAACTCGGA